CACGCTTTTTTTTGTTAAAGGTGTGAAAGTTGAGCCACTCTCACATAAAGCCTTTATACACACACATATATATATATAGAAAGAGAGAGAGAGAGAGACATTGAATAAGATACATGATACATAAATATACAAAAGTATGCAAACATATACACAGTAGCATAGCTCAACAAAATAAAAGTGCTTCATTGACTGTACAGTATATGCAACGAGAATGCAAACATACCCTAATAATAATTTCCTATAAACATTTTGAAGTATAACCTGACAAAGTCTTCTCTAGATGCTGACCAGTGCAGTAACATGCAGCTGCTAAATGTTTTCCAGATTTTTGGTTTTGGTAGCAAACAGCCCTCATGGTAGGCGTGTGTGAACCTGCTCTGTCCAGCCGTCCAATAAATTCTCTTTGGCTGACTAGACTCAGTACAAAAAAAGTTGAGCTTGTTTACATGCTGTTGCTTTGCCCTGGTAACAGGCCACATAAACTGACACCAGAGGCACCTCTCTCGACTGTAAGTCAGCTACAGTGAATGTTTCATTCTCACATGAAGTAGTGCTCTGAGGTGTAGGAACTCGTGTTGGCCTCCATAGCACCAAACAAAGTCCATCATGTAAAGTATGTGGCTGTGTGAACAGTGCATCAAGGCCTCTGTGGTAAGTCACAGTAATGAATTAAATAACACAAGAGTCAAAATATATGGGGTTAGAGAATTTTATAGATGTCAAAAGTACGTTAATGACTCTGTGGGTATGCCCAAAGCTCACTGACTGTTGACGCCGTCGGCCACTTACAGACTCAGATTATGGGCCTTTATTTGTAACTGATGCATTCAGAGCAATTATCTGGGAAACCCAGAGAACATGGCTTGCACTAAAGTGACAGGTCATTTTGTCGCAACAGCTTTAATGGTTGCATATTTGCACGTATATAATATCAGCAGTCTCATCCTGTTGTCAACAACAACGCTGCGTTCCCAAACTCTGAAAATGACACTTGGGGACATATTGTTAATATTAATTTGAGCTTCGTCTTTTCCCTGCCTGGAAAGAGGTTCACAAACTGACCCAAAGCAACTAATAATGATACCGACTGTGTCGGCAATCAGGGAATGAGTGCAAATGTTCGATAAGCAAAACTTTTTAAAAACTAATTACAGAAAGACTGTCCTAGTTTCAAAGTGACACAAAAGACAAAGAAGCACAGCTACTTTTTGAAAGAAGAAGATTGACATTTGAGGAAATATGACAATTTTCTCTTGTGGACAGTTAAAGGAGAAGATTAATGACTTGCATGTCTTTGAGGTAAACATGAAGCCACAGCCAGTTAGCTTAGCATTAAAAAAATCCACCTCCCACCACCTCTAAACCTCACTAATTAACATGTTATATCTTGTTAAACGCCAACAAAAACCTAAGTGTAAAAACAAATAAGTTGTGGTTTTGCATGGGGTTATGTGTGGGGCTGTTTCTTGGTGCGGTAACTTCTGAGATATAATTAGTTGTTTTTGTTGTGGTAAGCTAAGTGGCTGCTTGTTATCTTCATATCTACCAAACAAAAATGAGAAGAGTTTCTTCTCATCTAACTTTTGGCAAGAATGCCAAAGGTTCTGTCAAATGTCAAACTGTTCCTTTAAACTGCCATAAAGTCCAAATGTTGAGAAGCTGATTGTGTGGTCTTTCTGGCCTAACTACATTATTTAACTGAAATAAGAGTTCCCTGAAATAAAGCACACATTATCCTACTGATTCTTCACACCATGGACAAAACAAGCTTTTATTGTATAAGCTTTAAAAGAATGAATAACCTTTACAGTACTGATGAAAGCCTGCAAAAGTGAAAAATGACTGCATATACTTTCCAATATCATGCAGATTCTTAAAGCACAAATGAAGTATGAAATGATCTTTTCTGCCAGAATAACAAAAATAGCTGAAATGTAATGTGGTGGTACTGTAAGTCACATGGGACGCCTGGACAAAGCTCCGCCCCACAGCTGCCTATGGGTGCCAAGCTGAAATGGAGACTGGGCTCCAGGAGGAATGTTTACCCAGACTTAGCACAGAGCTCTATTGCTCAAAGAAGCATGAGTAGATTTCTGTCTGCTTTTCACTTCTGCACCAGTTCTGTGCCATTACAAATTGGGACCTGCCCAAAATGAACCCTCCCTGTGATGATAAGAATAGCTCCTTTAAAGACACAAAGCTGAAATAAATTAACTACGTGTGATCAAGCGTGAAGTAACCATACACCAGGAGTGGATGAAAGGCTTGAAAGAATTTGAAAAAAAAGATTCCAGAAATTCCTAATGCACAAGTTCAAGTCTGATGTTTTTCACAGTTTCGTTAATACAACTGATATTACATGTAACAAGTGACTGAAGGAGGTGTGAAAGAACAGATCAGAAAATTCTCTTTGCGAGTTATTCGCACACATTTTCACACTTCCTGCCACATGGAATAAAAAAGAACCAAACACTGAGTTGCAACTGTACTTCAGTGCAGATTTTTCCTGCTGCCAGCACTTATTGGATTTTGGCTCTCAATAAAGATGCATTATGTTGCTTCACAGTACGTTTTCAGGTGGAGTGTGGTACATGGCAAGATGAGCAAACCTATGCAGCTGTTTTCAGCATAACCAACATTCAAATGAACATTAGTAAAGGCACACACTTGTATTTAACAGTATAAATGAATGGGAATTCATCTTTTACTGCCTGTAAATCACTAGAGAAATACTTTATATTGTATGTAACAGTCATATTATCACTTTCTTTGCTGAGTTGTAGCATCATATATTTACATTGCAGTCTGTTTATAGGTATTTATTTATCCAGTGCCATTCTCCAATGTGTAACCAGAAGTTATGCCTCGTTGCTTTTGAAGGGGACATGCAGTTTTTCTTGCTGTCCTCTATCACGCCTTCCAAATAACCTGCTCTTTAACAGGCGACGGAGGTTCACTCTATCCGTTTCCAAACAAACACACAACAGCACCTTGCAGTATACTTTAAACCACGCAACTGCAAACACACTTTGTGAATTAAAATAAAGGGTATTAGCCCACTAAAACTTTCCCATGGTGGAGCACAGTTAAAGCATGTAAAATAACACAGATTGTGCAGTTTTCATCCAGCATCAAGTTAAAATAACAGAGGCTTTACCTTGTATGTGCTGGTTGACCACATTCTCCAGCCGATCAAGCCTCTCCATGATCCGGAGAGTGTCGCCTCCTTTATCACCATCTAACTTTCTCTCCGGTAAAGGCATTGGGACTTTGATGTAAATATTGGCGATGTAATTAGTAACCCATCCGACATAGAGCAGGCAAACAATGTTGGTCATGCCGCTTAGGATTACGCATGTGGACACCAAAGTTTTGGTTCTCCTGGTGCAAGCCATGCCGACATCCCTCCATACAGCTTGCAATATCTCGTTGTACCAGCGGACAGGGCGACGCAAAACACTGGAATAATTAAGTGATTTCCAACGACTGTGCAGCGATGCAATATCCGAATCGCCGAGTCTTTGTTTCTGAAGTGCGCTGTGTGTTTTTTTTTTTTGGCAACAGTTAAACACAGGTTAAGATCAAATATCTACAGGTGAAGACTCCCGCTCTCGCTCCGTTGCAAACCTCCGTCGGCTCCAGTTGCGTTTGAGGATTAAGGAAACTGGAGAGACACCGAGCATCCTGCTGCAGCCAGTGGGAGGGATGGTGAGGACTGACAGCCTCCCTGCACGCGTCCCCGCTGCGCACTGATTCACCGAGAAAGTGGATCAGAGCGAACTACAGTATTTCTCTAGAGGCAAAGTACTATAACCTATTTCTGTTCGCACCACGAGACGATGCGCCACACCAAAGTGAATACTGCACATTGGTGTTTAATTTCTTTTCTTGAGCACTGAAGCAAATCACCCTGAAACGCAGAACCTCTGTTAGATGCTGGGATTTTCTTCAGTCTCATGCACGAGTAGAAAACACTTTGGGAGTTATTACCATGAGATTTTCAGACCAGCATGAAAGCCTGATACTGCAATGCTGGGACAAACCACGAAATAGAGACAACAGGACTCCAGGAGAAATCGAGGTGTGGTGGGGTCATGTTATAGGTCTGGCTCTGGTCCAACTCACTATGAGACACAGGATGCAGAGAAGAGGCTGCACTCATCTCATATGCTGCTGTAATGAGACCAGTGCAGGAAAAGATACCCGGCAGACTAATTACAGCAGACCTGCTCAAAGGGCAAATACTGCAGACAAAGTGAACATGGAAGACCTGCAGCACTTTAACCTGATGAACGGTAGATTTCGTTGTTGATCACGAACGAGCTTCACTTTTGAGGCAAGTGTGCAATGTTTTTTCTCTGTGTAGGTCTCCTTTTTGGCATGAGTGGTTTTCAAAATGTGAAGATTTCTGTTTGGAGCTGTCAGGGCCTATTTGCACAATTTTATGGATGATTTTGGTCTTGGTTCGTGTTCTGTCTGCAGGAGGCAAATAGAGTCTCATTAAACTGTACCATAAAAAGGAGAATCTCACATGCAGCCACTGTGATGAAGATTTTGGTCGTGCTCACTCTCAAATACAAGACATTTCTTCTCATATCTGCAGGAGTATAATGTGCTTGGTGCAGCATATTCTTTGGATTTTGTGTATTTCTTATTTGTTTATTCATTTTCCTTTCTATACATTTGAGACTTATTGGCTTGTCATTTCTTGTAAGGTGTCCTGCTCTTTAGGAACACAATTTGGGTTTTTAAGGACGTCATTCATTTCTCTGTCACTGAGAATCCTCTAGGTGTACATGAAGACTGCAGCATTTGAATGAATGTCAGGTCTTTTTCTATATCTAGAATGCTTGATTGTGTTTTGACAATATCTTCCAGTATCATTTCCCCAGACGATTATTTGCTAATAACAACCTTTGTCATCCAATTTACCAGACAGCTGCAACACAGCAGGTCGCCAGAGTGAAAATATATAGCTAGTAATGAAAAATAAATGTTACAACAATATCGTGCATTAATTATTTTCCAGTTTTAAATGGATTGAACAGCATTTTGTGACATTTGATTTGTTATATTTCTCCTGGAGAACTACAGCATGTTTCTGAAGTATGATAAGGAAAGTGCACAATCACTGACAAACTTCTTTGTTTGCAGTAACAACCATAATTATGGACTTTTCAGAGCAAAATGCAAGTGAATCGTCTTCATTGTAGCCAGCTGCTCTCATACACCTTAATTACAGAGAACAGTTAAAAGAACAAAATCAGTAAATTGAAGTGACAGCAGGATGTTGAAAAAGAAAAACTTTAAACCCTGATGAGTTTCAACCCCAGTGCATTTCTGTCACTTCACATTAAAAACATGCGAGGGCATCAATAATTACTCTAATTTATTTTGGCAGTCAAAGAGCATCAGTGTTGCCCCATTGATTCTTCTCTCTGTAATCCAGATCTAATGACAGACCACCTATCTGTCCTGTCTGCTCTGCAGCAGCCATTTCTGGCTGTGAGATGATCAATGCAGGAGCATGCAGCCCATTCATCTCAGCTAACAGACCTGCCAGAGTACAAAAAGATTTTTCTTTTTAGTTTGCAATATGTGAAGAGTTTTTCTCTTGTCAGTTGCATAGATCTGATGGAAAAAGAGTTTTCTTACCTTTTCTGCTCATTTAATAACATACCAAAATCCAAGATATGCTCCTGAAAGTCATAAAACCCTTGGTGGGTTTTTAAAACCCTAGTTAGTACAAACTGTCCTCTCCTGAAGGTCCATTTTAAAATGTGGACTATGTAAAGATGTAATTGGCAATTATGTTAATGTGTTAGCTGAAATGATTACTCAATTATAGTCAATCATCATTTAGTCACTTTTGAAAATCAGTTAAATGTTTAAATAGACTGAATAGACTGTCTTTTTTTTCAGCCAAATGCTCTAAAGTCATCAGTTGTGAGGACTGTGTGCTTTTGTTTGTTCCATTCCTCTGTCACTTCTATTTCTTTGGACTGCTGGTTGGACAAAGCAAGAAATTTGAAGATGTCAGCTTGGTCTTTAGAGTAAATGTTTTCATTATTGATCGGAGCCTAAGGTTGTTTTGTCCCACCAACAGGCCAAAATCAAAAAATATGAAACAAAGAAAAACAATACATCCTCACCTGTAAGATGCTTTAACTAAAGAATGTTAAATTCTTTTCATGAAAATGTACAAAAGCTATATAAGGATTATCAAAATAGTAACTGATAATTCATTAACTGATTCGCAGACAATTGTGTCAATTCTAGAATACCGTCATCTTCTCCTCCAATTTTATGATGATTTATTGATGAAACGATTAACAGAGAAAATAATCTGCCAATTCACTGAAAAAAACAGCTGTTGCAGCCCTGAAGTCTGCATGGTTTTCTTGTCAATTACCCTCATTACAGTATGTCAATAGTTAACTACACCCTCCCCATTACACAGTTAACAGTCACATTTTTAACCTCCTCACTCAGGAGGCTTTTGTCGACCACCTTTCAACTGTCAGATGACATAAAATGTGCTTTTGATATGTGAGTGGGAGAAATATTTGAATGACCTTGTATAAACATTGAATTGTTTTTATAAATTCTTTTGATAATCTCATCCACTGAATTCAAATGGTCTGTGTGACTGCAAACTGTGCACAGTGTAGAGCTGAGTGCAGTTTACAAGGGACTGAAATTATAATGAGAAAATTACATCTTGGCTAAATCATCAGAAAATCACACCGAAGGGCCGATTCAAAGATTAGCTTGTTTTCTAACTAACAGAGTCGTGCACTGTGATGTATGTACTGTATATCTATATGGTGAGCACTTATGGCCCCATTTTAATTTTATGTTTTTACCAATCCTCTGTAAAGGACACTACTGAAAAATGAAGCTTGTCCTTTTGATGACAACAACCAGATGCCCTGATAAAAAAAAATGTTGTCCTGATGATGACCTCAAAGCTGTGTGTGCATTTAATGGACAAGCCATAAACAGCTGCAGGTGTTAGACCTGCGACTTCTATCGATTTCTTTTGAATTGGAGCCAGCCTCGGGGACACTTTGAGGTTGGTATTAGGGACCTATGATCCTCCCACTGAGTGATCCACCCAGCCAAGCAGCTGTCACATTTAGAGCGAATGGGCTTCTTCTGGGCTGATTAATTAGTGTGTGCCAGAGGTTATCCTATAATCATCACAGTGAGGTCCCAGAGACAAAGACACTACCAGAGTTAGTTCCTCCGCTGTGGAGAGAGCAATCATTAATCAACAAACTACACACTTGACGTGTAAGCATTAGGCCTTGACTACACCGAAAAGATGAGTAAATAACTGATAACATCAACTTTTAAACCCTCCTGAAATGATTCTGCTGAAGCGAATGTGTTGATAAAAAAATTGTATCCACACTGAAATTGGGATTTGGGAAAAGAATGGAAAAGAACAGCTTTAAAAGGTGCTGTTCTGAGGCTGTGCCCCCAATTGTCTCACAATCCCATGTTGAAATGGTAGAAACACAGCATGAACTCTCATGGCAGCGGTCCGACAAAACAAAGGACATTTTCCCAGAGATGCATTATTATGTTTAATTGATTCATGTTAAACCGGTACACACTACTGAATAAAAAAATACAAAGCCATTTAAATAAATATAGTCACTTTGGTGGCGGACAGTCCAGTTTTAGTATGCTCACAAGTAGAAAAATAACACTTGGATATGTAAGAAGACTATTCCATCATGTTGTAAACCAGTGTTTACAGCTTTACCTACTCATAGACAAATCTAAATCCACATGTGCATGTGGGTACACACAGATACACCAATACTCAACACATGTACACAGACATGCACTGAATCAGTACAATACGTGTTGTCTTAAATTACAGTGTCAGGAGAAAAGAAAACACCCCAAAGCTTTTGTATGATGCATAACTTCCAAATTTGGATTTTGTTTTTTTGTTCAGGAACAAAATATTTTGACAACTTCCTCGACTTTCAACTGGCAGTTAAGTGGAAGAAAAATGTATTCATAATGTCATATGACAGAAACTGTGTTCACATGGAGAGTTAATGCTTCTTCTTAAACATTAATTCATTATCGCACATCAACATTTACATAAGAATCTATTGGATCAAGTTTCTTTTAATAGAGACTACACTGATGTTTTCAGACTCCATGTGACTTTTTACACCAGCACACTGTGGATTCAAGTGATATTACTGTACTAGTCTTCACTGCCAACAGCAAAATGCCAAAACCTTAGATCAGAAAGGCCTTTTTTAACACCACATGGAGTAATTGTACTTTTAAATAAGCCCACATATTAAGGTAAGTAGCTGTGATGTGGACACAGGGACTGTGAGATGAGAATCACATTAAGTTCAATCTCATTTATTTATAGAGCCCTTCATCACAAGAATGTCTCAATGGACTGAACCTATCAAGATGTCTCTAATCATAATCATTCACATGGCAAAACGAAGTGCTGTAATACATGATGAAACAAGTGAAATGCAAGGCAGCAAACAAAGCAGAAGAGCCGGAAAAGCCTCATATCTAATTAATCTACAAGGCTTGAAAGGACAGGTAACCATATTGCAATCCAGTTGCAATAAATGCACCATTTTGAAGTGTACAGTATAACACTCATTCTCAGTAAGACAGGGGCTATAACTCTAGGAAATTACACTTTGCAGTGTTTGTGTTGGATTGAACCTAATCACATTGTTTAGAGGGGATCTGTCAGGACAAAATACAATGAATATCTTACAGTTTTGTAGTTTTGCAAGTAGTGGTTGTTGCAGTACAAGAATTCATTAGGCTGCACAGATTATTCCTGATATTGTATCCTGACACCACCAACCCACCAACCAGCAGGGATGATCAAGAAAAAGCTGTGAGAGCCACAGTTAAGGCAGCATCCTTGTGAAATCTCATTTGAAGTGTAGCATCTCCACACTAATAATGTTAATAATCTCATCTCTCTGTGCATTTTGAGGTCAGCGCTCTGAGTGTCAATAACATGTTGTGCTCTGCAGATTGCCTGTGAAGAGCAGCAACTCATCTTTTCAAATAAAACCACCAAAATGAGAAACCGCAGGTCGTAGCTAGGCACACAGTTTTAATGGCCCAAGAAAGATAGACACGTGGCAAGTAGATGCAGAGTAAATGAGCTCAGAAAATGGTTGAAAATGAAAAGCCAGACCCGTAGGGTAGCCAGTGAAGGGGTTGGCTTCAACTTTCTCTGCTGGGGAGAAACAATTTTGCAAGAAGTAGGCACTCAAGTGTGTTTTTGATGTTATAAAAATTAACGGGTATCAGGA